TTTAGTTTTAAAAATTTTTATTTTATCGAATTTATTATTGACTTTGAATTGTCTATTTCAAAATTAATTTCTCCAACGAGAATGATAAAAATTATTTAAATAGAACTAATATTTATTAGGGCTATAACAATTAAAATGATTTTGCTTAAAATTTTAGTTTCAGTATAATCATTTATAATTACAAAAAGCATCAAATAGCTATAAATAAGCCTCTACATCAGAATCTTCTCTTCTTAGTAAATTTTTATATTCTAATAAGGCTTATTTCTTTATAACTGCTAATAATAAAAGAAAATCAAGCAAATTATTAACATGAGCTTAATATTATTTTCCAAAACTATATTAATTAGTATCATCAGAAAGAATTTATAAAATATTTTAACAATTTCCCAATACAGAAATTAATTCTTATAACCAGTATACAAAAATCCATATTTAATGATATTTTCTACCTTCTAAGATATTTATAAATTTTATTAATCAACCTTTTATAGCTATTTAAGTTTAGAATACAAAAAATAAGGAACAAAAAAGCAGATAGTAACTACTAAAGGAACAACTATTGTTGCAGCATATAATAAATGATAATAGTCATAACATTCTTAGCTATAATCAGAAGTTAAGTAGTATTTGCTTCCAATTTTTATGCATATCAAGCTTTCAATCAGTATTTTAGACTATAAAATAATAAAATTTATTAAAATTTAATTTAAAAATAAAGAAATCGTTTTCAATTTTTTAGCTGTAATAAATAAATTTTATTTTTTAAAAACCAATAAAGATTAAATTTTAGTTAATTACTATTGATGGCTGATAGAAAATGTAAATGAAAACTAAAGTCATTTTAATCATTTGATGGAATTTTTTAAGAGCTTATTCCTTCTTTTTATATGATCTAAGCTATTTAATCAGTAATAAAATAAGTGTTAGGAGACAAATAATGATTATAGAAAATATCTAAATTATTATTCTATTAAGCCACAAAGGATATTTATCACTTATTTTAAATAAACAGTCTAAAGAATTGATTGTTATTTTAATAGGATTTCCAAATAAATTAACAGGATTCGATAAGAAATATGTGTTTAATATGGTAAAGTTAGCTATACATGATAAAATCTACAAATAATTTATGAAGATTTTGTACAATAATGAAGACTCATTTGCAGATGAACTCAAGTTACTTGTTACCAGCAATTAAATTTATTTAAAAATTTTTAGCTTCATAATTCTTATTTTAGAGGCAATAATATTGTGTTAACTGAATGCTATATAAAATACATAGAAAATGATAAAAAAGCATGCGAATGCTATTTAATTTAATTGTTAGCTGCAAGGAAAGCAATTTTAACCTTTAAGACCATATTATTGACCCCAAACCTTATTTTTATTATCGCAGCTATTGCAAAGAGGACCTACAAATCCAGTTAGGCATCCATTTTTACTTTGAGGATTATTAAAAGAACAACTATCTAATAAACAAGTGTAAATCTAATCTGTTAAATTACTCTCTCTCCAGTAGCCATCCTTTAACTAAATTTCAGATCCTTAACAGAAATGAGCTTATTCTGGACATGATACACATTCAAGTTTATTGATATTATTCTGCATATCAGGAATTTTTAATGAGTATCTCCCTTCAACACATTAACTGCACCTAAAAAAATTTTTAAATTTGTTAATAAAATCATTTAAATTAATTAAATAATTACTAAATGAATTAATTTTTTTCTAAAATAATCTCTCCTATTGTGCAGTTCCTATAATACAAGTGTAATGGAATAGATAGAAATACACCTTATTAAAACTAATTAGAAATAATGCTTATTGTTTGATTTTAAGATATTTTGTAAAATGATTAAAAGTTTAATTCAAACATTCCAATTGTTTTGTTAAGCAAAGCACTCATTCCCTCCTAAATAACTATTTAACTATTATTTTAAATGTAAAGCTAAAAGTAGAATTAACTTCTATCATAAAAAATATCAGGTCCTAAAAAGTTGAAAGAATTGTTTTCCTCATCTATAAAATTTAAATATAATTTTTTGTCTAAGTAATTTCCACTTGAGATATTGTAAATTGAGTATTCTTCTACTATTTTTAGAGAATCTAAATGAGGTTTATTTGTTATTCCTATATTTTAAGGAATTGATCCAATATTTTACCCATAAAAAGATGCTATTTAAATAAAAATATTGTTAAAATAAATTTTAAATAAGAATTTTTAAAGAGTTTTTAATTTTTAATATATAATTAGTTTTATTTATGATAAATCTTCATAAACCAAAACCCAAATATAGCCCTTACTGGTTTTTAAATTAATTTAAGAATTCACAACTCGACTGGCTAAAAGCTGAGAGCCGAGGTGTAGAGGAAATGAGTAATTAGGGTATGTAATCAATTTAATAAATTTTTCTGAGTTAATGATTTATTTATTTATTATTAAAAAAATTAAATAAAAGCTTTACCTTTGTTATGCCAAAAGATTATATTATTTTGTAGAAGATTAATTTTTTTTATCAGATTAGAATTAACTTTGTAATGGTAAATAGAACCTCCAATACTTGCTTCATTAGATGAAAATATATCATCTGAAAATTATAATAGATCGCATGTATCTAGTGAAATCGCTCCACCATTTTAGAATAAAGCTTTGTTTTTTGTGAAATTAGACTTTGTAATGTTCACTCCTCTTAAAAATTAAAGAAAAATAGCTCCTCCAGAGCTATAAATTGATTTATTATCAATAAAATTTGACTTGTATAGTATAAAGTTTGCTTTTATTTATTGAGAAGAGTAGATTGCTCCCCCTTGCATTGAAGATGAGCAATTTTAAAATAAAGAATATTCTATATGTGTTTACTTTACATTTTAAATGCCAATAGCACCTCCTTAGTAATATGAAATTATATTACTTTCAACTGTTTTTGTTTAATTACTATTATTTAAGTTTACAAATTTAGTATTGTTTACATAAAATATATCAGCTTATGAAATTTCTAATGCACAAGGAGAACCTGAAGATGCTATATTTATAAAATGAGTGTACATTAAATACATCTAACCTTAGACAGAACTAATAGTGCTTCCTCTCAGCAGATTTATATCCTGAAAGAAAGAGTTAGAGATTATTATTTAGTTCTAAATATTTAATGAGATTAAGCCATTTAAACTATTAATTGAAGTAAAATTCAAATAACTCAATAAAGCATAAAGACAAGTGATAGAAAAAAAACCATTTTCTAAAACTAAAAATTCTGACTATTGAAAAGTAACATTTTATATTAAGATATTTTTGCTGAAATATTAAAGCTATTCGTTTACAGTATAGTGATAGGATTCTAAAACACTAATATCAAAGAAGTGGTCAAAATTAAGATTTTAAAGGCTTATATTGTAACATCCTTAGAAATTTAATAAATTAGTAGCTGAATTTTACTAAATAATATCCAATCTTCTTTAATATGGTCTGCCTTTTAATACTCTTTAAATTTAAGAAACCTTTTTTACTTGGGTGACATTTAAATTTGATATTGAAATAAAATTTGATTTTATTATTTAGATTAAGTTTCCTTCTTAAATATTTAAATTTTCAATATAAAATTGCTAAAACTAAATATTTTAACAATCAACAAATTTAAATACTGCTTGAGATAGAGAGCAATTTGATATATTTAATCCATTAAATGTGATATTTGTTATTGATTGGAATATAAAAAGCGGTTGGTTTAGATTTTAGATATTTTTTATAGTCAAATTAGAGATTAAAATGTTAGTCACATTCATAATAACAATAACACTAAAATCACCTGTATAAATTTGATTTTAAATGCTAATTGAATCAAATATTAATTAATCTAAATTGTTGATCATTAAGCTAGATTAGGAATCTATATCTAAAACAAAATCAACGTCACTAAAAATCAGAGTTTTTAGGTTTCCATATTAATTTAACATAAAATTGCTTTAATTTATATTTATATTAAGCTATATTGTCTCAAAAGTAAGCAATTAAAATTATGGTAAAATAAATTTGCTATCAGTTAAATTTGCAACACCTTTTTTCTCTTACGAATTTTATTAAACAGGAAAGGAGTAAACTACAGTAGTCATTTAAGTAAAAACATCAAAAAATATTTATACTTATTCTAATTTTGATTATTAAATAGTCATTTAAATGTAATACTTTAAAAGATTTAATTTTTGAGAAAATATTCTGCCTTAAATATCTTGATGCTTTTTTTAAGAAAAAAAAAAGATTTTAATGAAATAAATAAAAAACATTTTATATTTGTACTTTAGAATTAATTAAAAATAATTACTTAAAATGTATTAATATATGCTGAAGGAGACTAAACAAAGTTTACCTATGAGTCTATAGAATAGTTACTACTTTCAATGAGATATTTAATATCAAATAAATTAGAATCACTGTAACATTTAAGTTGTATTTAGCTTGGTATGGATTGTTTTTAATCTAAATAAATAATATCAATTTTATATATTGATGGATTATCTAGATTAGTAAATGATTCAATTATTTAAGATTATGAAGAGCTTAATTGTATTAAAATTAAATCGTTGTAAAGGATTAATATAAATATATCTTAATAAATATGCATCACATCCTTTATGTTAGAATATGTAAATTAGTTTACCTTTCTATAATTAATTAGCTTCAAAGTTCTTTTGTCAAATATTGATACTTAGAAACTACAAATTACATAAAAATAAATTTTATCCTGTTTTAGCTTTAAATAATTTTAGGAAGAAGTGGGTAAATAACCTATAAGCTAGTTTGATTACATATTAAAAATCCTTATATTTAAACTTGTTGCAATAACTAAAGTATTAGATTAGTTATAGGTGATTGTTAAAAAATCTAATATTTAATACCCAGTTTAATTGAACTGAAAAGATAATCTAATATTTTAAAGACCATTTTAGTTTTATAAATCATAGACCTATAAAAATTATTATTAACTTAAGACAATTATATTCTATCCAGATAATTATATCTATTTTATTAAAAAATAATTTAATAAAATAATAAAATGTATTTCCTCTAAAAATTCATATATTTTAAATAAATTTTGTCAAAATTTAAAATTGTTAATAAAATTAATGACAATTAATTAATACCTTATCTATTTAATTTGGAAGAGAAATTACATTTGATAATTGTAAAGTTGATGGATTTAAAATAACCATTTTTCCTTCAAAGCTTATAAATGCTAATACCTCAGCACTTAAGGCATAGAGTTCACTAACTTAAATTTAAATTAAAGATTGATTGGCAATTATGCTAAAATCTAAAAGAGTGTAATTAAATTTCTTCAAGATGTTATTGTTTTCAAGACAGTAGATATCCTATGAGTAGTTAGAAAATAGAATGCAGTTAAATGAAGAAGAAAGATATTTTATTTATTTATCTAGAACAAAATCGTAGATTAATAACTCACGATTCGAAGCTATAGCAAGAATCGTTGAAACACTTATTCTATAAAGCTAAACAAAATATTAGGTTGCAGATAGAGTTTGATTAAATTTTAGTTAATGAAGAATTTAGAAGTTATCAGTTCTGAAAACATTCAGAAAATTTGAATTATAGTTAGCATATAAAATTGTGTTAGTATCTTAGCAATAAATAAACCGATTTTGATAACTTTTCAGTGAATTTTGATATAAGTTTGAAAAAATAGGAGTCCAAATATCAAGTAGTTAAAAATAGATACCATCTCCATAATTAATAGCCAAGGTGTTTGATAATGGAGAGTACATTATAGTTTCTGAATTATAATAATCCTAATAATCTAAACTACCTAGATAGTTTAATGTAGAAAATTAAAAAGCATTCAATCTATTAGATGAAGTTATTATGATTGTATCTAAGTCATCCTCTATGAATATATTTATAGCAATAGGTCTATGATTAATTGATTAAAACTTAAGTCCTTAAAATTGAGCACTTTAATGTTAGCAATTTGAATAATTTAAGATGGTCAAGCCTTGTAAATTTATAAAAATAAACACCTATTTTTTATATGAAAAAAGATTATAAACTTAAATAAATTATTTTTTTCTAACAATAATTTTAAATATAAATAAATTATGATGAAAATTAATTATTGATTTTATACCTTTTATGATAAGAATTGTCTATAATGAAAAGCATTTGAAAAATAATGTTGGCACTTTAAAGTTTAATTATAATTAAATGCTCTAAAAACAGAATTATCTGAATCAAATTATAATATGAGACTGATTTAATTATCAAAAAAGGTTTGTCCAGAATTATAATTATAGTGCTACAAAAATTAACTATTCATTTTCTAATTACAAATAATTTAATGTTGGTTATTTTCTTTAACTTCAAAAACCATAAAGATTAGCCCATTTAATATTAGAACTTGATCGTTTTAAAATATTAATTCGAACTAATAATCGAAACCAGCTTGATAAACATCTTACAATTAATTTATTTTCTTAGAAAAATAATCAAATAAATATATTTTGCTATCATCACTTGAATCTATGTTTAATAAAATTATATTTTTTGATAAAGAAATTCCTAAATATTTGAGCTCTCCCTTCTACTAAGGTAAATATAAATTTAATTTCAATATTTCAGTGAACTCTCTTTTTTAAAATAAAACCTGATTATTTATGTTGTTAACTGACAAAAATGCATCTAATTCTTAAATATATTATACCTAGTTTTAATTAATAAAAAGATGTTTTTAATTAAATTATAAATCTACAATTTCGAATAGATCTTCACTGTTAGTACCAAAAAGCTATTTATTTTTAATGATCTAATAATTATTCATCTCAACCTAACTTATATCTGGTCTATGGTCTGTTTATAATATGTTTAAAATGTTTAGAAAACAAAATTATTATTTTATAAATTATGTTATTTTAATTATATTTAAAATTGATGAAAAATATTTTATTGTTGTAAATACTCATATTTTAGCACCCTCGTTCCCACATTAAATTTTTAAATCTTTGAAGGTTAGCATGATAGGGATAAGGTATAAATAAATAAATAAAGTTGATTATTTTCATAAGAGTTGAAGTATTTATTAAATATGATAAAAAAAATAAATAATTGATTACCTAATACTAGATATTGATTAGTTTACAAATCAAAGTAATAGTTTTTATCATCACCGGTAATGATGATAACTTCAAATTAATATTTTAATAGTGCATAAAAACTAATATCAGTATTTTGAATATCTGGTATTGTAAAGTTATTACATCCAAGAAAATAGTTAGCTACTAAATCTCCTTACTAATACAAAATAACTTAGGATTTTTAAACGATTATTTATTAATTTTCAGAGTACGACTTCAAAAAAAGTTATGTGAGTTGCATATTTTTAATATTTAACAAGAATAATTGCTTTTTTAATGAAAAAAAGATTATTAAAAATAAGAATTAATGAATGATAAATTATGAAATTACATTAGTTATATTTTATATGAGGATATATGTCGCTCCTTGCAATTGTATGAAGTCTTAATTTAATGAAAAAACAGTAGGCTATGGTAAATTAAAGCTCTAAGCTTATAAACTACTTAAATTATATAATTAATGTATTTATATTGATTCTGCTATAAATTAAGCATCGTTAAAGTATTTTATAGATGAAAAATCAATTTTTTAAGTTTTATAAGTTTTTAAATCTAAAATAGTAATTTTATTGAATCCTATTTGAAACTTAGGAGGCATAATTAATAATTTATTATATTAAATACTATGATAGGTTTATAGCATAAAATTTTAAACTGAAACTAGAGGAAGAGTTTTAAGCAAATAGTTTTATTTTTAAATTCTGTTAAAAATAGAGTAATTTAATATATTTTTACATGAGTTTATTATAATCGAAACATTGTTATCTATTAAGCTGAATACATTTTATGTATAAATATTATCAATCTGATTTAATTAAGAATTAACAGAGTCATAAGCATACACAAGGATGTAATATTCAATCGTATTGATATATATAGTGTCACTTTAAACCTAGATAATTACATCTTAGTTATTTTTATCATACTAGGGACTAGCATTTATTTAGAAAACATCTGTTTGTTTCTATGAGATACAGAATATCTAAATAGAATCGCTGTAATAAATTCCAAGAAATAATCTAATAGGATTTTGTTGCTTGAGTAAAGAAATGTAAATGCTACCAGCTTAGATTTGATATTAATACATTTAATTATTTTTAAAATTTATTATAATAAAATTATAATTGTTTATATTGTATTAGTAGACTATGACTAATTAACAATCAACTAATTCAGCTTTCACAATTTGTTATTTTAAATTTTTTTCGATTAATAACCTCTGTCCATTTATTTTAATAACTCTAAATCCACTATTAAAAACTATTGCCATAATATTGAATTCTTCAGAGTAAAGTATTTTGAGAATTCCATTCATGTAGTATACCGAATCTTAATCTGTAAAGCTACTAAAGTAGATTACCTGGTTCTGATTTGCAGTTGAGGATTTTATAACAAATAACTAATTTTTGTAAGATAGAATCGAAGTTTAATTATTAATAACCTAAAACTAATTAGAATTTATGTTGAAATTTGGATATTCTATAGATTATAGGTTTATTTAATACTAGCTATTCTATGAAAATCCCTTATTGTCAAAATTCAGTGACAAAATTTAAATATTATCTTTTGTTATCTAGTAATAAAGAGATTACTTTTTTGATAAAAACTTAGAGTGACCCAATAAATAGCTGCTACCTATGTTAGAGAACAAGAAAATCTAATTTTAATTACTTTCAGTTTCAATCATACTATTTTGAGGACTTATATTTATTATTTCATAACCTATTTAAAATTAAATGAAAATTTTATTTTTTAATTTCAAAATGAATAATTTTTAAACAAATAAATGTAAGTCACAGCAGGTATAAAAAATGAATGAAAAAAATTAGCGGAGAATATACAGGGTCACACTCAAAGATCTTCATTCAAAAACTTAGACATTCCCCGCTTTGACCCACCCCCAAAATAATAAATAAAACAATCTTTCAAACAAAAATTTAAATATGGTTTTTAATTATTAATCCAAAAAGAGATCTGCTTCAAATAATTTTTGAAATATATTTTAATTAAGACACAATAATCTCTATTACCTTATGTGCTTGCAACAATAAAATAGTTATGATCATCTGTAATGATGTATTCAGTCATTTAATATGAAATTTAGGCGTAATGAGGCTTATCCTTTTTATTAAAGAATAAATTAATAAATTATTTTTTAATAAAATGATAAAATGTTTCATTTACATATTCAAAATAATATTCTTAAGACGTTGTATTTTATGTTAGATTTGAACATACTACTACTGACTAAAAAATACCATTATGTGTACCATTTTAAATTAGTACAACTCTCTTCTTTCCATCATAATTAAATGCTTTTAAAATTAAAGTTTCATTTAAAGCTTATTAAGGTTAGGTTTGTATTAAAACATTTTTATTTAAATCATAAATATATATGTAAAAATCATCTTTAAATAAAGATAATTAATTATCTAATTCCTCAAAGAAGAAAGGACTTTTTGCATTTTAGAATGAGTTAACTATTGTTTATTAGCTTACCAAGCTTTCTTACAAGTAGTCTCTTTAAATTATATTTAAATTTTATAAAGTTGCATTTTACTTTTAAGTACTATTTTATATAATAATACATCCTTAACTATCTGTTTGAGTTTTAACTTAAGGTATCTTTTAATTGTCTTAAGGCACATCTGGTTAGTTTGTAGAATCATCGTCAGCAATCTTAAAAAAATATGGATCAAATTCAACATTAATTTGATTTTTGATTAACTGAGTTTATATTTAACCAGTTGAAAAGGTTAAAATACTAATATTTAACAAATTAGATGAATATGTAAACAAATATTTTTAGGAAAATGCAAATATAGTATCAGTTGTCTCTAAAATAATCGTAAGTTATTAAAAAAGGATATCTATTTTTTATACTATTCCATTAGAAATCAAGTAAATATTTCGATCATCTTTTGTTACTCTATCATAAGAATTTTTCAAAGCTAGCTGATTCAATGGTATTAATTCTGGGTAAGAGTAGAAAATTGTGTTTTTACCATCAAGAGTCACAACCTATATATAGAAATGTATGTATGTATTGTATTTATTTTATTAAAACAAATAAAACTTACAAATGACTTTTTATCTATCTAATCAAAATAGAATACATATTAGATATCTCTTTAACTAACATTATTTCTACTTGATAAAGTCTTAATTTAGCTAATATTTTTCAGGCTTATGCAAGTTTTATTATTTTAGTTTGAAGTTCCTGGACAATTAATTGTGCAATGGCCTGTGGAAGGATTGTAGAAACTGTAATCATTTATTAGGCATTCACTTTTCAAACAATTTTTTTAGTCACTTGATAACTGCCATCCTTATTCGCATTATTAGCATAATTTACCTTCAAATTAGCAAACTTTACAGTTTTCTACTTGGCATTCAATACAAAATCCAAAGTAATTCACCTAAGATTAATTTCTTTGACATTAATTTACACATTAACCAGTGCGTTGTTCCTTTAATTTATTTTTAAAAGGTTTTTTATAGATATTTTAGGTAAATTTTTTTTTACATAATACTAATTATTTTAACATTACAAACATGAGGTGGAGTCATTGCATATTTTGCAATTGTTTAAACAGCTGCCACAACTTTGTAAAGTTAAATCATAGTAAGTGTCTTAAAGAGTACAACCTTACAGAGTTTCGCTATACATATACTTAAATCCTAGGATGAATATCAAAAAGAGTTTATGCATTTATATCTCTATATTATTTTGCTATTTTATTTAACTAAAGTAAATTAAAGAGTTTTTATAATACAAAGATTAAAACAAATTTACACTTAATTACAACTTTTTATTCATTTTCTCAATAATTTATGTGGTAAAAATATTGATTTTTTACATTAAGAATGAATTAATAAATATCTAAAAATCCATTAATTTAGTCTTTAGAAACACGAATTTTGAAAAAGTAAGTCAATTTATAAAGAAAAAGCATAATTTAGCTCAAACTATTTTTGATTATATTAAGTATGGAGCAGGTGATTCACAATTACATTAGAGCATTAATAATAGTATTTTTAAGAGTTAGATATTAAAAAGGGGAGGTTTAGCAATGTGGTAAAAAAAATATTCCTTATTAAATATCAGAATAAAAAATGAAAGTTAAAATGATTAAAATGAGCGCAATGAAGATATTAGAAACTAATTTAGATAGAGCTTAGATGATAATAAACTATTTGTAAAAATTTAAGGATCTCCATATATTTTTTATTTTGAATATTTTCCTTAAAATAATGATTGATAATGATAATGTTTCAAATAATTAGAAGAAGCTTAGTAGGGTATTAAGTCTATAAAACTAATTAATCAAAAAAAAGCTAAGCATCTTATGCATTATTTATATTTAATATTACAAATTTATTTGTATATTTAATTTATTAGAAACTGTAGATTCTCATATAATAACACCAAACCCCCCACCTCCAAAATATTAAGGTGCTATTTCATTAAAATAAAAAGTAAAGTTTGATTTCTCCCTAATGTTTTAAAACATGGTATCTAATTAATCGTGGTAAATAAAAAATAGATATTAATATGATTAATTGATAATATCTAAGATTACAATCTAATTAGCATTTAAAAGATTGGCTTTACATAATTTAATAAGATAAAATATAAGACTACATTTTGTAAATAATTTGCTTGTTTTTGGCAAAATAGAAGGGCAAGCAAGATTAAGAGGAATTAATTTATTTCTGTAAATTTAATTTTTTAATTATTTTATTTTATAAACTAGTTTTAACTTATAAAATTTATAAATATAAAAACAATAATAAAATCTATCTATATAATAGGTTAAAATAATGTTTCAAAATATTATTTAATAAAACAAATAATTCAAATATTTATTATATATTCATCCTTTTTTAGCCACTTGTTTATCATCTGAATTTCTTTTGAAAGAAGATAAATCTTTTGATTTAAGGCACTTGTTTATAACTTTGAATTTATATGATTCATCCATTTGCTTTAAACTTTTATTATAAATTTGTGTAAATTTTAAATATATATTATTTCTTAAATTAAAAAATAAAATAATTTATTTTAGCAGAATCATCAAAAAAGGTAAAAAGATAAATCAAATAAATTCAATGATCTTTATTGTTTTAAATTAGTTTTTATGAATAAAAATATCACAATCCAAAATAAATAAATAAACTATTTTTACTAAAGGTAAAGCGCAAAATTTAACTTATATTATTCTGAATAATCTCAAAAAATTAGGGTATTTTATATTTAAAAATGTTTTTTTTATCAGATTTGCTATTAGCTTTGATTTGTCTTTTTCGAAATTAATTAACCCAACGAGAATGATAAAAATTATTTAAATAGAGCTAATATTTATAATAGCTATCACAACTAAAATTATTTGGCTTAAATTTTACTTTCAGTAAAATCATTTATAATTACAAAAAGCATCAAATAGCTATAAATAAGCCTCCGCTTCAAATTCTTCTTTTCTTAGTAAATATGTATATTTTAATAAGGCTTATTTCTTATAATTGCTAATTATTAACATGAGCATTATATTATCTTCCAAAACTAAATTAATTAGTATCCTCTCAAAGAATTTATAAAATATTTTAACAATTTCCCAATACAGAAATTAATTCCTAAAACCAGTATATAAAAATCCATATTTAATGAATGATATCTTCCACCTTCTAAGATATTTATTAATTTTATTAATCAATTTTTTATATTTATTTAAGCTTAGAGTACAAAAAATAAGGAACAAACAAGAAGTTCTATCTAATTTAATTTGGTAAAATTATATAGTTATTATTTATTAGTTATCATTAAAATTTTGATTTTTGCTAATCATAATTTAACAAGTTAGTTTTTAATATTTTGTGTAAAATTTACTAAAAATAAATTTTTTTTTTATTATTTATTTTCTTCAACTTTCTAAAATTTATGATTAGTCTAATTGTTTTATGAAACAAACTCAAACAAAAATTGAATCAGATTTTTAAAATTTGATAAAAAATCAAAATAATTGATTATGCTTTTTTTATCTAAACCATATGAGATAATAAATTAAAACACACAAAACACAATATTAATATTTTTTGGGGCTTGTCTATATTAAGGTATCAATATATTAAGGCCCTTATTTGAAATTTTTTAAAATACATTGAATTATTTGGATTTAGATTTAATTAAGGCCTTTATTAAAGTTTTTAAATAAAACAAGAGGTTATTATAAAATATAAACCTTTAGGGAAAATATATTTTATTTTTTATTTTTATAAATTTTTTTTAATAATTGTTAAATTTAAAAATAATTTGTTAATGGATTCTGGGTAAAGAGTTCAAGTTACCATAATTCTTAGATAAAAAGCATTACAGTTTTGAAAAGGTAGACAAATTTTTAAAAAAAATATCTCTAATTTAATTAAGATAAGTAAAAATAATTAAAAAAAATAGCACAGTATTATTAAAAGTTTATCTTAAATTAGGGGTGTCTTATATTAGAGGGGGGACGGAATACACAAAATATATTTAAAAATGATTAAATAAATATAATTAAAAGAATCTACTATTTTTTGTATTAAATAATAAAATGAATTTTAAAATATGGTTAAAAGTATATTGAATCAGGTAAAAAAATGCAAATATATTTAAAATATTGATAAACTTTAATCTTCGATTTTTGAAACTCTCTACTATCTAGTTTTAGCTGTTGAATAAACCCATTTTCTTTTTTAATTAGTATGACATTATTTTATTTTCAAAAATAAATAGCTCAATTCAATATTTTAGTTAATTCAAAATGATTTTTTTTAATAAATATTTTAAATCATTCATTTAACATACAAAAGAGTATTGATTTATTTTCATTTATTGAAATTTATCTTTAATTTTTCATATTTCAATTTTGCTTGAGATAAAAGATAAAGTCATAAAAACAAAGATTTGCATACATGAAATCATCAAATTCAAACTTATGAAGTAGAAATCATTTTACAATCACTTTTACAATTCTATATAATTAGAATAAATAATAAATATTATTTTATTAAATAATTAATAATAAATTAATAAGAGGAATTTAGTCATTTTTTTTAATACCAAAAAGTTTCAAAAAATTCTTTCAATGGTTTCTTCTATAAGCTAGTTATATGCTTCTTCTATATTTAATTTAAATAGTGATGATACTTCAAAAAACAAAATTCCATAAGAATCTGAAAAAGATTTTCCTTCACTAAAGCTAACTTGTCTATTAAAAGATTAATCTAACTTATTTCCAAGCAGAAGGTAAGTAAATTTCCTATCCTATATTTTCATTGATTCAAAATAATATTTAATCATTTCTTCAAAAGAATTTCTATCTGTAATATCATAAACCAAAACTAAACAACCGCCTTTCAAAATCAACTTAAAATAATTTTTCATATTACCAGCTCCGAATATTTCATGTCTTAATGTGTCTATTAAAGTTATTTTTAAATTCATACCGCACTATTTTTTTATTTATTTATTGGTTAATTAATTAATTAAATTATAGGTTTTGGCTTAAACATTTTATTGATGGAAAACAAATATTTTAAAAATATATTTTTGCTTAATACTTGAATAAAGGTATTAAGTTGTTTTAAATAATTTAGATTAACTATTATTTGAGCAGAAATTTAATGGATGATTTAATTTTTATTATCTAGAAAGAATTTTAATTATATTATCTATCAAAAGATAGAGAGAGAATTATATGATGATATTTCAATTAAATAAACTACTTTTTAGATTCTATTAATGCAATAAGGTAATTAATTATCAACTCCACAAAATTTTTGAGCAATATTAGATTTACCCACTGATATTTTTCCTCCAAACAAAATAGTTATCTAACCTTCTTTTTTTATTTATTCCATTTTCAATTTTGAATTTATTAAATCTTTGCTAATTAAATTATTTATAAACAATTTTGATAATTTTAAAATTAAGGCATGCATAAAAAATAGATATTTTTCTATATTCTTTTATAAATTTAATAAAAAAAATTAACTTTAATAAATCTTTGCTGATTATATATAGTACATCCAAATTTTAAATTCATGTGGATGAAGAAACGCAAAAAATTAATTAATTAATTACAGGATTAACTAGATTAATTAATTGTATCAATAATTTTATTTTAATGTTAATCATAAAACTTTTGTTTTATTATTTATAATATGAATATGGTATTTCAAATGTTAAATTTTATAATTAACAGATATTTATTTGATAATATATTGAGCTTAATCTTTTTAAAAAAATTAATTTTTTCCAAATATTTTAACAAATTATTAATCAAAAATAACTAAAAATGTATTTTTTAATATAAATGAGGTGACGAAGGAATTAATTTATTCGGTATACTTTTTGAATTTATTAAATTATAAATTAAAATACTAAATAATAATAAAACTAAGATTTTTAAGTAAGTAAAAATTTTTTTAAATTATTCTTTCTTTCAATTGAAAAGTCTATCTAAACAAAATTTAGATAAAGAAAAAATGATACATTTTTAACTATTTTGTATGAGTTAATAATAAATAAATTATTAATACAAATTAATTATTTTAAAATAACATCAAAAAATTCAAGGACTTATATTATAATTAATTTGATAAAACTAAAAAATTCAAGGACTTATAATTTATATGATAAAACTAAAATTTAAAATATCAAAAATAACTAAAAATGTATTTTTTAATATAAATGAGGAGACGAAGGAGTTATTTAACTTTTTTATTAAAAATAATTTGAACGTTTATTTTCACAAATAGATAATAATATTGATTAATAGTAAAATATTTAAACTAGTTATTAAATTAAAACTGCTATTTTTTACGATATTTTCGATTTTAATAGAAAGTTCATCAAATAGATCATCTGATTCATCTTCTTCATCTATATCAGTTTTCAAATAGAAAATAGCCAAGTAATTGTTTGTTGTATCAAAGTAGTTATAAAATTTGTATATTCCATTAGAAGAGTGGTAGGTACCATTTTTTAATATCCAGTGTCCAATTCCAAAACTCAATTTTCCGTTTATAGCCTCATCTAAATTACTTGGATCGACTTTTAAATTGCTCGTATAATCTTGAAGGATTATATCTACAGTCTTTTATTCCAATATTTTTTAACCTTAAAAAACTCCTCCATTCATTAGCATGAGCATAAAATTAGCGTAATCAATCATTCTAATAAACATTCCATCAGCTATAGCCACGTTTTTACCATTCTCTCCATCAAAAGCAGTAAATCTAGCATTTACCATGCCTAAAGGATTAGCTAAAACCTCTTAAAATAGCTAATTAAATCCCTTTCCAGAAACTTTCTCAGCAATAGCGCCAGCTACTTACATGCTCACATCCCCATACATAACAGTTGTTCCAGGAGTATTAAATAAATTATCTCTTGGTACTGGTTTGCCATTTATTGTACCTCCTTTTGCAATTCCTAAAACAGAATCCTAAAGAGTTAAATCAAGAGCTTATAACCATTCATCTAAATATCCAAACCCGCTAGTGTGTGTCATTAATTGAAGAAGGGTAACTTCATTAGCTTCTTAAGAGAATTCATTATTTGGATAAAATTTAGAAATTTTATCAGTAAGGCTAAGTTTACCCTACTCAACTAATTTCATAATTACAGTCATGGCTGGCCATTTACAACCAGAAGCTATATGTATAGTTGAATCATCAGTATAAGCAACAAAAGCAGAATTAGATAAATGTTCTTTTACCAAAATAGTTCCATCTTTTAACTACACCATCCAACTTATTCTACCATCAAAAATATCTAAATTTTTTTTTAATTCTTTTGTTACTGAAGAAAATGAATGCGCTTCAGTATAAATTACAATCATAGCAATGAATAAAAATTACTAAAAAGAAATTTTAATCATTTTTAAATGAGTATTTTCTTCTAAATTTAATTATATTATTTTTATTCTTAATTTAAATAAGTATGAAAATAATATGATTATCAATTTAAAGAAATTAATTAATTAATCTATTTTAATATTTATTTATTAATAAATGAGGAATTTAAATAATAATTAATCAGAATTAATCAAATAATATCTTAATTCCTTAATACATAAATATATAGACCTTGCAATCTTAAATTTCATATCTAATTAAAAAGGCTATAAATCTTCAATTTAATAGCTTACTTCAAATTAAAAGGTAAATGGCAAATGTATTTTCCTATAAAAGATACTGAACAAAGATAATAGTTGATTATGTATTTCATAGACATTTAATATAATTTTTCTTACTTCCATGTTTAAAAAATCAGACAGAAAGCTGAGAAATCTGTCAAATCATTTTATATTAACTCAAAATATAGAATTCCTTAGAAAATTACAACTGAAGTTTATCAGCAAGACAATCTATCTCAAAATTATTAAATGGACACATGATCCAAAACTATACGCTGATAGAAGAGATAATAAATTTGAAAGATTATATTTTTTGTCCTATCTTTTAATATCAATCAAATATATAAATAAAATGATTAAAATGTTACTAAGATCAAATAAAATATTAGTGAAAATTTATTAAATAAATATTAAATTTTAAAATATTTATAATTTATGACATCATATTTTAGTATATCCATTTAATTGATAAACAACACATTTTAAAAATAGTATTTCAAAAATAAATATTTTTTAATTTTAATAAACAAAAAGCACTTCCAGATATTAAATTCTTAGGAATATGGGAAATTAAGAATTTAATTCATGGATTTGTTATTAATAAAGTAGATTAATTTATAAATTAAATAATTTTATTTTATTATAAAATATTTGATTTATAATTTTTGATTATAAATATGTAATTTAAGAAATTATAGCCAATCACCTAATTAAAATCTAGTGATTTGGGTATGTATCTATTCATTAATTAATGAGTTTAAAATTAAATAAAAATATATTTGAAATTGTTAGCTCTAAGCCATTTTTTTTTAATTCATTTTATTTATGATAAATTTTGGTGAATTTCCAAACCTCCCGATTTGCATTTTTCTAGAATATTTAGAGAGCATTTTATAATAAAAAATAAACAAGATAAGCATTTTAAAATTTATAATACCACATTAAAAAAATTACATAAATTCTTGATATGAAATAAGCTTATAAAAAGCCAAATTCAACATTAACGACTTTTAAATTCATTAATTTACTCTAAATATTATTAAATTTCTATTGTCTGAATCAATAAATGATAATTTAAAAGACAATTATTTTATGATTTTAAAAAATATAAAATGAAAAAAATGATCATAAGATAAATTAAAAATTTGAGAAAAAAAAACATTAAAACCACTAAAGTTAAAATAAAAAATAAAACTTGATTTCTCCCTGAGGTTTTATTTAAATCATGGCATCTAATTAATCATGATAAATAAAAAAAGGATATAAATATTATTGATGGATAATATTTAAGATTAAAATATAACTGGCATATAAAAGTTTGGAATTTATATAATTTAATAAGATGTAATATAACATTAAAAGTTTCAAATTATTTTATCGTTTTTGCAGAAATTGCTTATGATGATTTAATTTATTTAAGTAAATTTTATTATTTTATTTTTTATAAATAATTGATTTACTTATAAAAATATGAATGATATTTATAAATATAAAATCAATAATAAAATCTATCTATCTATTTATATTTTAGGTTAAAAACACCTTTTCAAAATATTATAAAATAAAATATATAATATTATTCAAACATTTTATATTTATTCATCATTTTTTCACCAGTTGTTTATCATCAGAAATCAAAGACAACTAATCTTTTTGATTTACGACACTTGCTTATTACTTTGAATTTTTATGATTTATCCATTGAGCGAAAACTTTTATAATAAATTTGTGTAAATTATTAATAAATATCAAAATAGTATAAACTTTTAAATTATAAATTATTCTTTAAATTAATAAATAAAATTATATTAGTAGAATAAAAAAGATAAAAAATTAAAATAAATATAAGCTATCAAATAAATTCAAAGAGCTTTTTTGTTTTATATTCATTTTTATAGTTTAAAATATCACAATCCAAAACAAATAAATTGTTTTTACTAAAGTTTAAGTTTCAAATTTGAGAGATTAACGCAATTTGCTAAACCAGCAACTAAGCCTGATGCACCTTCAGCACCAATTTAATTATAACTTTTTAAATATTGAAGAAAAAATATATCATTAAATAATTAATTAGAAGGAAAAAATGAAGAAAAAATATGAAATAATAAGAAATAAATAATAAAAGCAAAAGTTGAAAATAAAATGATGAGCTAAATTAACAAAGAAAGAACAAAAAAAGCAAGCACAATAAAAAGAAAAAGAAAAAAGAGCTTTTTTGTTTTTAATTAGTTTTTATAATTTAAAATATCACAATCCAAAACAAATAAACTGTTTTTACGAAAGGTCAAGTGTCAAATTTGAGAGATTAATGCAATTTGCTAAAGCAGAACCTAAGCCTGATGCACCTTCATCACCAATTTCATTCCAACTTTTTAAATATTGAAGAAAAAATATATCATTAAATAGTTAATTAAAAGAAAAAATGAAGAAAAAATATGAAATAATAAGAAATAAATAGTAAAAGCAAAAGTTGAAAATAAAATGATGAGCTAAATTAACAAAGAAAGAACAAAAACAAATAAACTGTTTTTACGAAAGGCCAAGTGTCAAATTTGAGAGATTAATGCAATTTGTTAAAGCAGAACCTAAGCCTGATGCACCAATTGCACCAATTTAATTTTCACTTTTTAAATATTGAAGAAATAATGTATCATTAAATATTTAATTAGAAGGAAAAAATGAAGAAAAAATATGAATAATAAGAAATAAATAATAAAAGCAAAAGTTGAAAATAAAATGATGAGCTAAATTAACAAAGAAAGAACAAAAAAAGCAAGCACAATAAAAAGAAAAAGAAAAAAGAGCTTTTTTGTTTTTAATTAGTTTTTATAATTTAAAATATCACAATCCAAAACAAATAAACTGTTTTTACGAAAGGCCAAGTGTCAAATTTGAGAGATTAATGCAATTTGTTAAACCAGCAACTAAGCCTGATGCACCATTAGCACCAATTTAATTAGACCTTTTTAAATATTGAACAAAAAATATATCATTAAATAGTTAATTAGAAGGAAAAAATGAAGAAAAAATATGAAATAATAAGAAATAAATAATAAAAGCAAAAGTTGAAAATAAAATGATGAGCTAAATTAACAAAGAAAGAACAAAAAAAGCAAGCACAATAAAAAGAAAAAGAAAAAAGAGCTTTTTTGTTTTTAATTAGTTTTTATAATTTAAAATATCACAATCCAAAACAAATAAACTGTTTTTACGAAAGTTAAAGTGTCAAATTTGAGAGATTAATGCAATTTGCTAAAGCAGAACCTAAGCCTGATGCACCATCATCACCAATTTTAAAAAAAACTTTCCAAAAACAAGCTAAACGATATAAACGAGATAAACGCAATAAACGAGCTAAAGCATACCACTGATACGCTGTATATTATTTAAAAATTGGTGAATTTAAAATAATTCGATAATAGCTTCTAACTATAAATACATAATTAAATAAATAAATATATAAACATTATAAAAAATTAATTTTAAGTTGTATTCTGAGTGCATTTATATGTGCGAGTATTTCTATTCTATTCTGCACCAATTTAATTGTCACTTTTTAAATATTGAAGAAAAAATATTTCATTAAATAGTTAATTAGAAGGAAAAAAAGAATATGAAATAATAAGAAATAAATAATAAAAGCAAAAGTTGAAAATAAAATGATGAGCTAAATTAACAAAGAAAGAACAAAAAAAGCAAGCACAATAAAAAGAAAAAGAAAAAAGAGCTTTATTGTTTTTAATTAGTTTTTATAATTTAAAATATCACAATCCAAAACAAATAAACTGTTTTTACCCAAGGCGAAGTGTCAAATTTGAGAGATTAATGCAATTTGCTAAAGCAGAACCTAAGCCTGATGCACCAATTGCACCAATTTAATTAGACCTTTTTAAATATTGAAGAAAAAATATATCATTAAATAGTTAATTAGAAGGAAAAAATGAAGAAAAAATATGAAATAATAAGAAATAAATAATAAAAGCAAAAGTTGAAAATAAAATGATGAGCTAAATTAACAAAGAAAGAACAAAAAAAAAAGCAAGCACAATAAAAAGAAAAAGAAAAAAGAGCTTTATTGTTTTTAATTAGTTTTTATAATTAAAATTATCACAATCCAAAACAAATAAACTGTTTTTACGAAAGGTCAAGTCTCAAATTTGAGAGATTAATGCAATTTGCTAAAGCAGAACCTAAGCCTGATGCACCAATTGCACCAATTTAATTGTCACTTTTTAAATATTGAAGAAAAAATATTTCATTAAATAGTTAATTAGAAGGAAAAAATGAAGAAAAAATATGAAATAATAAGAAATAAATAATAAAAGCAAAAGTTGAAAATAAAATGATGAGCTAAATTAACAAAGAAAGAAAGAAAAAAGCAAGCACAATAAAAAGAAAAAGAAAAAAGAGCTTTTTTGTTTTTAATTAGTTTTTATAATTTAAAATATCACAATCCAAAACAAATAAACTGTTTTTACGAAAGGTTAAGTGTCAAATTTGAGAGATTAATGCAATTTGCTAAAGCAGAACCTAAGCCTGATGCACCTTCATCACCAATTTAATTGAAACTTTTTAAATATTGAAGAAAAAATATATAATTAAATAGTTAATTAAAGGAAAAAATGAAGAAAAAATATATCATTAAATAGAGTAAGTTACTATACAAATTTAGAAAAAGCAAGTTTTATATACCAGTTTTTACATTTTATAAAATTAAGATTTTATATATTTTTTATGAATTTTTTTTTCCATCATAGGTTTTCAAAATTTATTTTTTTCAAAAAAAAAAGGTATGTTATGCTTTCTAAAAATTAACTTTATTTATAATTTTATTAAGATATAAATTAAATAGGTATTTCACTCTAATTAATTAGGAGGAAAAAATGAAGAAAAAATATGAAATAATAAGATTAGTTAAAAATTAATAAAATTAACAAAGAATGAAAAAATAAGAAATCATAAAAAAAGAAAAAGGAAAACAAATCAAATAAATTAAAAGAACTTTAATGTTTTAAATTAACTTTTATAATTAAAAATATTACAATCTAAAACAAATAAATAGCTTTTATTAAGTGTAAGTTTTGATAGCAAAAAATGAAGAAAATATATCAAAGAATAAAAAATGAATAATAAATAAATATGAAAATTAAGTAA